ATGAAACTGTCCCCTTCAGAGCCTGCCATGTCTGTCTCCGGGGTGGAGGCTTGTGCCCAAGGCCCAGGTGATGGCCCGCAGCGTGGCCCAGCCAGCTCTGCCATCGGAGGCCGAGGTCCGGGAGGTTTCACTTCTCCCCCTGGCAGGCCAGGCCTGGCTGCTCACTTCTCACTCTGGCCTCCCTCCTCCCCCATGGTCACCCTTCTCCTACACGTGCGCCTTTGTCCCCTTCCCCCTGTGCCTGCTCTTCTCAGAAGTTAGCTTACGAAGCAAAGTTGTAACTTTGAATTCCTGTTTTTCTAGCCACCCTCATGTGACAGGATATCTCCTTATTGGAGGTTTTTCCTAAATTCAGGAGCCCTTTAAAAGGGACGGCTTCCTGTGTCCTCCTTTTCAGCTGAGCATCTCTGAGAACCTGGACCAAGCAGGGGCCCTGGCTGTTTTATTTCTTTTCTTTTTTCTTCTTTTTTTTTTTTGTTTTTTTAACATCCTCTTCTCCATCAGTGGATGAAAGGATCAACTCTGGGCCATGAGTCTGTCCCTACTCCTGGTTTTTGTCTCTGTCACTCCCGTTGCTGTGCAGCTATTGGGTAAGTCTGCGCTGCGGTGGGGGCCTTCCCATGTAGGGACCTGTGACACAGCCTCCACCTGGGGTTAAGATGAGCACCTGAGTCCTGTCAATACCTCTGAGAGAAAGCTCGCACAGCCCTGGGCATCACCAGGTTCTGCTGCAACCTATGGCCCCCAGCTGCTGCTGGTAGCTAGAGGAAGGGGCTGCTTTGCGGGTGTCTGGTGCTGTCTGGCCTGCAGCCTCCCCCCCCACCCCTACCCAATCTCTCAGGTCCCTCTCTTTTGAAGGCATTCCTCTCTATTTTATCTGTGCAAGGATTTCCTGTTCCGGGGTTTGCTTCTTCTTCTCTTTTTCCATGTACGCTCTTGACATCTCACTCCCAACAAATATCTTGGAAGTGCTTCTGGCTGAGAGGAAGAGGGAAAGGCTTCCCCTATCCCAGGCCTTAGGAGAGGATGAGGGAGCACCCCAATGTAGATTCCAGGTCCCTTCTGCTCATTTATTTTTCCCTGTGAACCATTTCAGTCATTCACAGTTTTGACTGCCTTCAAGCTGGTTCTTATCTGTATTCTAATGGTTCTAAGTGTCTCATAAGTGGATTTATTGGGGTTTTTACTTATTACTCTTTGCGGGTGGCTGGTGCCGTCTACATCAGGGATGGATTCAGAGCTTTTCAGATTCCCAAATACACTGTTAAGTCTTCCTACTTCTCTAGACTCAGCCTGTTGAAGAAAATTCTCAGCCTGGGAAAATTTTCTTCCCTTTCTGTTTTGAATGATATATAAGGGATTTCAATTTTGATTTATTTATTTATTTTTGGTTCCTGATTCGCCTTTGTTCCCATCTATCAATGAACACTGACTGCAATTTGTGTAGGAGTCCTTTCCCTACCTGCTGGGACTGTGGGCAAGAAGCTCCCTAGGGAGAGAGCATCTGAAAAAAGAAAATGCTAAATTCTAAAAAGCCTTAAGTGCAGGGATAATCAAAACACAAGCAAAGACAATCTGCTTTGTGCCCTGCCTCTGCCACTTGCTAGCTGTGTGACCTTGGGCAAGTGATTTATGACTTGTACTTTAGTTTGGACAATGATATTTCCTGCCCCATGAGTTGTGGTGATTCAATGAGTTAAAATATGTGTGTGTAGAAAGGAGTACGGTCCATAGTAAGTGCTTCATGAGAGTCTGCTATTAAAAGCAGCAACCCCCCCCCACAATAGTAATTAATTGTCTAATAAGTTCAAAGCAATATATTAAGCATTTAAAGGAGAAGTTTCTCAAGAAAAAAAAATATGCTGAAATTCCTGGAGCTGAAGGAGCCAGGGCTACAAAATATTTCTCACAATTAATCCTGGATGCTGGAGAAGGGGCTGCTTAACCCAGCCATGAAAAGACTGCAGTATAGGTGAGGACTTATCCCGTCTCCATCTTTTCCAAGATATTTGTCTTGGGCAAGAGGATTCAAATAGTCTTCAAGGTTAAAGGTAAAAACTCAAATAGCAAAAATCTTCTAAGGATTGTGCTCTCTCAAGCAGAGGAATTTGCTGAAGAATAGCAAAATGTCCTTGTCACTGAAGGTCTTCAGACAGATGCTGGATGAACAATTCACAGGCAATTTATGAGATCTGGTCTCTGTAAGCTGACACAGTTCAATAGAAACAGAATCTATTTCATGATGAAGCCACATTCCTAAAAAAAAATAAGTGAAATTATTTTATGAATATATTCTATTTAAACCCAATATATCTCGAACATTATTGCCTCATTTTAGCCAATATAAAAATCATGGGGATCACTGCACATTCATTTTCAAAATTAACTCTTTAAAATCTGACGTATATCATCCACTACTTGCTGTAGGTCTTGACGGACGCTATTGTCATTCAGAGTGTATGACAGTCACGTGGAGCTGCTGCTGTGCATCTTGGGCAGCACAGCTACAAACCTTAGTTTTCTTTGAAATGACTCAACGCTTTTGGAGCAAGCAGTGTTTCTCAATTTTCGCAGGAATGTTTCTCTCCTTGAGACAGCAGGATGACTTCCTCTGAGTAATGTCTTCCTCTTTGCGGGCACAGATATTGGGAGAAGGAGGGAGGTACTGAAATCTGTTTACTTAGAGAATAAAAACCTAATAAGCAATAAAAAGGGGGCACAGAGGTCCTTCCAGATTTTTGTTGTTCTTATTTTACTCAATAGTCTGTGATCCTTAATTTCTTTTACCTTCCCTTGCTCCAAGTAGCACATGACCACAGGATTCTGATAAAAGCAGAGCACCTGCTTAGTTGGTAGCAGACTGAAGGATATGGGACTTCTCAGGACCTCTTTCCCTGGCTTCCTACCCATGGGAGGTTCTCCCTATTTCCGGTTGGTTTATTTCCTTTCAACCAAGAACCCTTTTACCTCCAAGGCAGCTTTCCACTTCATTAGCCCCGTAAGTCACAGTGGGTTGATGCCAATGGACAAGCCGGTTGTACCCTGAGGAGCCCAGGGAGGTGAGCAGAGGTTGCCCTGGTTACTTTTCTTGCCCTGTTATCTCCCAGACTTCATTGCCACCGTAGGCCTCAGTGGGTTATAACTCTAGGAGAGATGCTCTGAGAGTTGCTCAGACACTGAGGTTGGACCACTTGGAAATGGGTTTGGCTCATGGCAGTGCTGTGCTGGTATACTTAACAACTGGTTTTCCGAAGAAAGAAAGCATCGATTTGACTTGGGGTATTTACTGATTTTTATGGTGTAAGCATTCCCATGATGGTTGATGTCAAATTACAACATGGTGACATATAAGAAAGAGCTGGGGAGAAATGACAGCCAGCTTTTGTGGATGGTGTTAAGTGCAACACAGAACCTTTCCAGGATAACAGGGAACCAACAGTTATGAAGAAGCTTGGAACCAGGGTTAATCATGAAAATGAAAGGGAGTTTGGTGTGAGAGAGAAGCCATGGCATTATGTCATGAAAGCAAGAAGCATCTTGGAAATGATGTTTTGAATCATCATTTTACAGGCGAGGCAACAGGTTTAGCAAGGCAAATGTCCAGAAGGTCACTATTTGGCAGGTAGAGGCAGACTTAGGACTTTACCCTCAGCTCCCTTAGGATCTTGCTGTAATGTAAGACCGAATGAGTGCAGATCAAGTTACCCCTGTGGTATACACGGGGAGCTCACAGTGGGAGGGAATCGATCCAATTGTGATTTTGACATTGATGCCTTGCTAACTTGTGTAATCCTCATATTCTTCCTACTTCAGATTCCTCATCTAAATGCTAAGGGAGATGATTACTGTCATAGCACCAATTCTCACAACCACTCTTGGGAACTTGGGTTTCAGCATAGACATGTCTTGCAATATTAATGTTTAAGTGCATTTTATTTTTCATTATTCTCAATTAAGTAGAAGAAAAATACTCCTTCTCACCCTCACTGCACGGCTTTCTCAGGGCTGGTATTTGGAAGTCTGTGCTCATATCCAGATCTTGGGACAGCTAGTTAGATTTGATTTTGGATCGTTAAGTGTAATTTTTGATTTAATGTAACTGTAGAATTAACTTAGGCCCCAGGGCCTCTAGAGTCACGTAAAGCAGATGGGAAGGTGGGAAGGTGTCACAGTCTACCTTTTACTAGATGACAAAACAGAGGCTCAGAAGAATGAATGGGTTGCCGAAGTCCACACACCAGAGAGGCCAAGAGAGACTCTTGATCTTGCTTTTTTGACTCAGGCGAAGAGGTAGAAATAATTTAATCAGCTGGAGTGTGTTACTTAAGGAAAATGTAAATTCTGTTCAAAACAATGGCACCTTAAAAGAAAGACTTAGATCTCTGTGCTTGTTTCAGTTAATTTTTAGCTTTTTATTTCAAAAAGAGGAAAGGGAGGGAATTAATATTTATCAAATGCTCACTGTGCACATCAGGTGCTTTACCCACTTTCTCTCATAGAAGTTCACTCATCTAGAAGACACTCTCAAAAGACCTTATTATGCCCATTTCACAGATTAGGAAATTGAGGCTAGAATGGTGAGTATAACTAAGGCAGCACAGCTAAGAAAAGGTGGGACCAGAATTTGATTCCAAGTCTGCCAACTCTAAAGCTAGAAACTTCTTCTCTTTCTTTTTCTGGGCTGCTGCATGAACCTATTTGTTGTCGCAAATTTCATCTTGTTCAGAACCCACTTCACACTGTGTTCAAGACTGATTTCCCCCAAGTTAATGATAATAATAATAAACAACACAGATGGAGCAATTTCTGTGTCAGGATCTGTTCTAAGCACTTTGTTTAGATTATCTCATTTAATCCTTTCAGCAATGAATAGGACCTGTTACCTCCCTTGTATTGTACAGATAGGAAAATGGAAGTACACAGTTGTACTGAAATTTGACCAAGGTCACATAGCCTGTGAGCAGAGGAATCTGGTTATCTGGTAAACAAACACTGAAGCTTCGATGGATCGATGGATCGTGTCCAGGTAGACAGGATACAGAAGATTAGTTCATTAGCATGGCTGTGTGTGGAAGAAGAGAGAGAAGAATAGAGTCAACTTCCTAACCTGCAAGGTTTGTCTGTCCTCAAGCTGGGGGTGAGGCTGGATTCTGAAGTTGATACAGGAGGAGAGGAGAGGAGAATGAGCAGGGAGGGAGTAGGCAAGGTCAGTAGGGGGAGAGAGGCCTCTTCCTGTGAGATAGATGGGAGTGCATGACCCAGGGAAATCCATATTTGAGGGGAAGTTGGAGTGACCTTAGAAAAGTCTCATCACCTCTATTTCCTCCCGGAGAATCAGAATCTACTTTGAATTCATATTTGATCCTCCCCAAATGGCCAAAGGCAGCGACATGAATGAGTAGGTTCTGTGAATGAATATCTGTGAATGAATGAATGAAAGATCAAGGTGAAAATCTGAGTCAGTCTGCAGGTTTGGTATTGCTAACCCCGATACCATGACTATTCCGCTTCTCCTTCCCCCACCCAGCACCTGGCAAAGCCCTTCATATAGGTGTATGATAAGCACTTTTCACTCAAATTGTCTTTTTGT